TCCCGAGCCCGAAGGGCGAGCCCGTCGCGCTGAAAGACGCGAGACTCAAGGAGGCCCGGCGTCTCGAGGTAGCCCGGCGTCTCTCCGGCCGCCGCGCCCCCCCCCTGATCTCCTCCGCGGGGTCGTTCTCGTTGGGCGGCGGCAGCAACCGGTCGGGCAACAGCTGATCAAAAATGCGCCCACCGCGGCAACGCGACGTACGAGCGAGGCTAGGCGGGCGCCTTAACGAGGCGCGTCATGAGCACGGAATGGTCGAAGTGGGCGCAGTTCGGGTACTCGGCGCACAAGTCGTCGACCATGGGGTAGTCCCTGACGGTGATGTCGACGTCGCCGGGGAGGAAGCCCGCGGCGAGCGCGGCGGCGGTGTCCGCCTCGACGGACGCCTCGTCGGAGGAGCCGGACATGTAGACGAAGACGCCGCCGGGCCGGAGCACGCGGAAGGCCTCGGCCATGAAGCCCCGCTGGTGCGCGCAGGCCCCGCCGAGCCGCTCGAGGTCGTTCGGAAACGGGTCGAAGAAGACCGCGTCGAAGGACTCGGCGCGCAGCAGCGGCACGACCTCCTGCCAGAAGCCGAGCAGGGCCTTGACGCCGCTCCGCGCGCCGAGGTCCGAGGCGAGCAGCGCCCGGAGCACGGCCGCGTTCGCCTCGACGATGACGTGCTCCTCGACCTGGGCGGGAAACGGGCGATTCGACGTCGCTTCGACGCGAGCGTTCCGCGCGCGCGCGTTCCCGAAGAAAAAGCAGCCGCGCGTCGAGAGCGCTCCGAGGGATGATCGCTCGTCGAAAAGTCCGCCGAAACGAGTGGAACGCGGCCGAGCCTTTGAAGGTGGGAACGTCGCGCCCGTTTCCCGCCCCGTCGTCGACGGCGCCGAGCCTCTGGATCGCCGCCGCCGCGAGCCCGAGGCCGTAGCCGATCTCGAGGACGGAGGCCGCGCCCGCGAGGTTCCCCGCGAGGTCGACCATGTAGGCCGCCTCCTGCGTGTCCATGACGACGGCGCCGTCGATGATCAGCGACGCGTTCCCGGCGTCCGCGTCGTCGACGCGCGGCGCCGCGGGCAGCGCCTGCCACTCGCCGCGCGTCGCGAGCTCCGGGGCGGCCGCGCGCAGGTCCCGGTCGAGCGCCGCGCGGTCCGGCACGGGGACGGCCGCGGCGCCGCCGGCCGGCGCGCGGACGGCCTCGGTCACGAGCATCGTCCGCGTCCGCCTCGCGCCGCTGTGCTCGAAGCCGAGGCTCACGCGCATGGGCACGGGCTCTTTGAGCTCGCCCGGGAGCCAGCCCGCGTCGAGGAGCCGCGACCGCGCGAGGCCCCAGTCGCCGCACTCGCGCGTCGCCGTCTCCGGCGTGGGCGGCGCGGAGCGCTCGCCGCAGCCCTCGAGGAAGAACGCCAGCGCGCCGCCGGGCCTGAGGAGCCGCCGCGCCTCCGCGAAGAAGGTGGAGTCGGCGACGTCCGGGAAGGCGTCGTAGAGCACGCCGTCGAACTGGCCGGACCGGAGGAGCGGCGCGTTCTCCTCCCAGAAGCCCAGGAACGGCGACGCCGACGCCGCCGTCTCCAGCGCGAGGCCGAGCGCCGCGTCGAAGACGCCCCGGTTCGGCTCGAGGACGACGTACTGCGCGGCGCCCGCGCGGAGGATCTCGCGCGCGGAGATGCCCATGCCGAAGCCGACCTCGAGCACGCGCGCGCGCGGCCGGCTCGCGACGCGCGCGAGCGCCTCCACGTAGACCGTCTCGTCGGCGGCCATGACGACCTCGCCGCGGANACGCAGCACCTCGTCCGTCGACTCGAAGGTCGCGCCGCGCCAGGCGCCGT